TGAGTTCATACCCCCACATTTTCGAGTTTTCCATGTTTTAGGGGGGAATACAAGTAAAGTTTGGTTTATCACGCAAATACTTGCATGTTTCATCTCTATGTTAAATATAAAACATTATTTGCAGGAAATACGGTTATCACTAGTTTGTACACAATTATTTGTGATATATTAGTTTTGAAATGCAAAACTAACAAAACAAAACATAAACTATGTTATATAATCATAAGAAAAGTTATGATTACAAAACTACAAGGATTTTGAGACTTTTACCAACATATAGTTTTTTTTTCTAACAAAAAGGGTTATATGCTGGTTATTTCATCATTTTGTGGAAAACAACCCAAAAATATGATGTTTTAGCCATACATTTTGAAAGTAGACAAAAACATCGTTAAAAACGGGGTAAAAGCTCGAAATGGACTTTTGCATACAAATTTCTCATACTTGTGTTGGATGTAAGATTTTATGACATAATCTTTTATAGACACCTAGACAAGATAATTACTACGTATTTATATAAATGATTAAATAAATTGTCTTAACAAACAAACATAATAAGCTATAATTGGTATGGTTTGGGAGTCACAAACACTATTATCATTACGGATGAAACATATAATTGTTTACTCCATATCCTCTCAAGAACAAGTCCAAGCTCTTCTTAGATAAACGTTTCCAAATGATTCTTGACAATTTGGTAAGTGTTTTCTTCATAATCTAGTGTTTTACACACTTTGACACTAGTTTCATCTTATTTACACACATTATCATGTGTTAAAACTCTTAGGATAATATCATCTTCAAAGAGTTCATCAACAACTTTCAAGTGTTCTAGGCTCGGAGATCTTCACAATCATCTCTTTATCCAACCACAACCACACTCAAGGTGAGTTCATACCCTCACATATTCAAGTTTTCCATGTTTTAGGGGGGAATACAAGTAAAGTTTGGTTTATGACGCAAATACTTGCATGTTTCATTTCTATGTTAAATATAAAACATTATTTGCAGGAAATACGGTTATCACTAGTTTGTTGACAATTATTTGTGATATGTTAGTTTTAAAATGCAAAACTAACAAAAACAAAACATAAACTATGTTATATAATCATAAGAAAAGTTATGATTACAAAACTACAAGGATTTTGAGACTTTTACCAACATATAGTTTTTTTTTCTAACAAAAAGGGTTACATTCTGGTTATTTCACCATTTTGTGGAAAACAACCCAAAAATATGATGTTTTAACCATACATTTTAAAAGTAGACAAAAACATCGTTAAAAACGGGGCAAAAGCTCGAAATGGACTTTTGCATACAAATTTCTCATACTTGTGTTGGATGTAAGATTTTATGACATAATCTTTTATAGACACCTAGACAAGATAATTACTATGTATTTATATAAATGATTATATAAATAGTCTTAACAATCAAACATAATAAACTATAATTGGTATAGTTTGGGAGTCACAAACACTATTATCATTACGAAAGAAACATATAATTATTTAAGGTATAATTAATTATTTTTACACTATGTAACCACTATGGAAGAGTAATGCATTCATTTACAAGAAAAAGGGGTTTTCAGTGCACGTAAACCGGTTGATACAATTTTGTGAGACTTTTGGCTTCATCGTACCCACTAGAGTACACACTAAGTCCTGAATTATAACCATAGTCTTTTGTTGGGAGGGTGTGACACTTATGTAGATCTATACGCGATTGACAATCCCGCACCTAAGCTGTTAGCTGCAATTAGACCGGCCTGTTTAGGGTTACAAATGTCATAACATTCTGACGCCTGAAGAACGCCGTAGCAGGCCAACTAGTCATTAGCATGGTTATGATAACTCACGTGAGGTATTAACAATACGTTTGGTTTACGGGGTTAACAAACATTCAAGTAGTTTTATATAAAAATAAAACTTCACAACACTATTTTTCAGTACAACATTACTTACATGTAGTCTTGGGTTTAAGACTTACAGTTCATTTTTAAATATCATTTTCTTACAAGGAAAAACTACCGATTTCTCTCATACAAAATGCTTATTAACTCACCAACTTAATTGTTGACACTTTTCAAAATCACTTGTATTCTCAGGAAATCAGTAAACAGGTAATCAAAGAGTTTTTGGAGGATGGCGTCGCCGCGTTACGTTATTTATTTTTGTTATACGTATTTGATATCAAGCAAACAATGTTTTGAGTACAATGTAAACTTATTAAATATTCATTATGATGGTTGTAATGCTTTTGATACTACTATTCATTTGTTATGATACTGTACATGAAAGTCATCCACCCCCAGACGTTTCCGCCGTTCTGGTTTGGGGTGTGACATATATATATATATATATATATATATATTATATATATATATATTACATTTGAAAATATATAAAACTACATTTTTTAACACTTAGAATTCCATTTTTTTTTCATAAATACAAATATTAAATACTGTTTTTATATATATATATATATATATATATATTATATATATTATATAATATATATCTATATGTAATTTAAAATATGTATTTTTGCATATAAATATGTAATTTTTATGTAAAAATACGTTTTAAATTAAAATAAATACATGAAAATATGGTTAAATTGTATTAAAAAAATTGTATTTATATAAAAAATATGTATTAATGTAGCATTTTATATACAACTTTATTTCAGTAATTTATACATGAGAAAATGACACGGATGGTCCCTATGGTTAGGAGTTATTTGCACGCTTGGTCCCTAGAAAGTATTTTTAACTCGGACCGTCCCTAAAACTTAGAATTGTTACCCGCCCAGTCCCTAAACTAACTTGCCGTCTATTTTGTTGTTAAACTATAATGAAAAGACATATTTACCCTTATTTTTTATATTTAATATATAATTATTCTTAAAAGAATAAAAACCAAAATATACCCTCACAACCTAGAAAGGACACTCATTTGGAGGCGTCATCACCGACATGTCTTCAATTTGGCTCCTCTCATATCTCCATTCAATCTCTTCCCTCCCTCTTTGATTTACTTCACCGTCGGCTCCCATGTGATCGGAAACCAACCCCTTTCCAAAGCCATCCAACAACAACGATTGGGTCTTAACTTCTATAAACTAGTTTTAAAATTCGATCTCCTCCCATGGCTGCTCTTCGCACCATTATCTCCAATCACGACCTACCTCCACAGCCTCCTGAAATCATGGCACTTAACCATAAATTCACCGTTTTTCACCTGGGATATAGGTACGCAACTCAAAGAACATTAGAAATCCAAGTGATTCCATTTATATTGTGTTATTTTGAATCTGTCGCTAGATCGATGGAAGTGATGACAACTCGTTCTTCATTTGTACCATTTGGGAAATTCATGTTTTGCTCTGATGATGGAGCGATTTACGTCAATGAAATTAGTGCTATTGTTAGAATGCTTCACTCGAGTATGAAAGTTATGTAGAAAGATTAATTTACAGTTCTTGAATCGAAGTGAAGAAGAGCTATGCGAATCTAACACCTATGAAACATGGTTACATTAGTGTTATTGTTAGAATGCTTCACGCTCGATTTGATTGTATTGAAATACCCACTTTATCTTCAATCCTAGTCTCCTCAGCCAAGTAATTTGCAAAGAACTTTTTGTGGATTCACCAAATTGATATACCCACTTTATCTATTTAGAACATTGTGATCTGATGCTTCACATAGAGCAATCGTGAAAATGAGAACAAGAGAGAGAAACAAAAAATGAGAACTTGAGAGAGAAACGAGAGCGAGGAGGTGATTAGGGTGTTTCTAGAACTCAGAAGGAAGAAGATGGTGACGAGATTAGGTATAGGGCAGTAGGAGTGGGTTTTGGTGGTGATGATAACGAAGAGTCCGGTCGGTGGAAAGGAGGTGCTGAGAGGGGGATACGACGCCGATTGTAGGTTATGGAGTGTGGGCCTGTGGGGTATATTTTGGGGTGGGATAGGTTTTATTTTCAAGAATAATTGTATATTAAATATAAAAGTAAGGGTAGATATGTCTTTTCACCATGGTTTAACAGCAAAATAGACGTCAAGTTAGTTTGGGGACTGGGCGGGTAACAAATCTAAGTTTTAGGGACGGTCCGAGTTAAAAATACTTTCTAGGGACCAAGCGTGCAAGTAACCCCTAACCACAGGGACCATCCGTGTAATTTTCTCTTTATACATACTATACATACTATACGCATACATACGTGTAGCGACGTGGTTTCTATTCATGAGATCATGTAATTGATTAAAAAGGAATAAATAAGATAAAAATAAACCGTTAATACATATTTTTAGAAGCGTTTGGGAGCTTCTAGCTTTTAGCTTTTGACAAAACGCTTTAATTTAAACAAAAAGCTTCGTTTGGCAGTACTAGCGTTTAGCTTTTAGTTTAAACAAAACGCTCCAACTCTAAAAGCTACTTCATGTAGCGTTTAACAAAACGCTACTGAGCTTTTGAAATCAATTTCCATAATTACCCTTAAAAATATATTTATATATTTATTTATTTTTAATCAATTGTCCTTTTATGCAATTTTATATATTTCAAAAGCTCCAACTACTTTTGCCAAACATTCATATAACAAATAAAAGCTACAGCTTCCCGCTACCAGCTACCCGCTACACGCTACACGCTACCCGCTACCAGTTAACCGCTACCTGCTTCCAGCTAACAGCTACTTTTGCCAAACACGCCCTAAGATTACATCAGCTCTCATGATTTATGAGGTACTTCCCTTATTCATTTATTTTAGGATAGTATGAACTAAATATTACTTATATATGTCAACTCATGATTAAAAACTGATACATATATTCATGTAACATGACATCGTTTAAACCCTATTTTTAACATCAAAATTACTTATTTATAACACTATTAATTTTTTGTTCCCTAATGTACAGTATTTCACTCCTATTGGGTTTCTTTTTGCTTTTTTTTTTTTCAATCCACCGCCTTTGACTTTTGGTCTATGCTTCTCGGTTCTTCTCCACCGTCTTATCTCCCTTATCTCCCATCTCTTTCTTTCAAATATCGATTCCTTCCTTTCTTCACTGATGCTCCTTCCAGGTATACCTTTAATTATATTCTTCTGCAATTCCTCTCTGCAATTCCGATCCCCACTGGCCACCGCTTCAACTCATACCTCTCCTTCATCTATCTGCATAAGCACCTACGATTTGCTTCATTTTCCAATCGGTGCAACTAATCTCAGGTATGTGATTGCAGCTAATCTTAGGTATGTGATTAGAATTTGGGACAGGAGAAATGGATAATACACATCTGTCGACTCGATTTCTTTTTTTCTCATCTTCTAGGGTTTGTCTCTTACTTAGTTGTTCGACACCAACAGCTACCGCCATCGCACCAGGGAGGGGAGCAGGTGAGGCCGGCGGCAGAGATGGTTCGACCGGCCGGAATGATGGGTGAATAGCAGGCGCACATCCCCACCTTTTTCTACATATGTTCGCTCAAATTCTCTCTACCGTCATCATAGGAAGTAGTAATACACACCAAGGTATCCCCTTTTGCAATTTTCCCAATTTCGTCGCCCCCATTTCATCTCCTTTCTGCTTGTGGTTGTTGATGAGAGTGATTCGCAATCAGCATGAAAGAGGGCCGGCTTCTTACGCAGCAGCACCCCGTCGTTCACGTAGGGTTCGACATGGGTATAATTTTTGAGGTAATTGTTGGTTTTATTGCTCATCTACTAATTTCATGCCTTTCTTTTTCTATTTCATTTGTAGTAATAACCATTTACACCGGATTAATCAGCTTGGTTTATGCCCAGTGCAGGTTGGGACTCTGCCCACGCTCCGTAGGTAAACACAAATAATAATCCTATAAATTGTTTTTTTTTTTTTTTTTTAGTTTCTGTTTATGTGCTTTGTTTTTGAATTATCATGTTGGTTTTCACTTCCTGTAGGTAAGTCTGTATCATAAGGATGCTCAAAGAATACATGTAATGTCATTTTATTTTTACTGGACATTAATTAAAGAAGTCAGTGAAGATCTAGATGGTAATACAATTTACATTGGGAATGGATATGGTGATCTTAGATCTGTTTCCATACGCACAGGCACACAATTCTCAAAACATCTGCTGTTATATTGGTTGATAAAATATGTCTTCACACAAGGGTAAATTTTCCATTTTTACTTCCCCTTCCAAACTAGATTTTTTTTTCTTAGACATGATAAGAAATGAATGTTGACATTTGTTGAATGCAATTTAATTTCAAGTTGTGAAAAATTTCTTTTTTTGTTGGTTGAAATACTTAATGGAAACTATTGGGAAGCTTTTTTGGGAAATGTTTTGGAAGCATTAGATCAGTAGTCACTTGGATCTCCCAGTAATAGCTTCTTGTGATGAGTTTTTTATTTTTTCCAAGCCAATCATATTTGCTTTTCACTAAATCATGAATTTTGTGTTTCCGTAGGAACATTACCTGACCAGGGTACTGTTCCTCGGGTTACCACCGGGTTAGTTTAATCGGTTCCCATGCTGTAAGGGAGAGTAATTTGTGAAGTTGGTATAGGAAATCCTTTTGAGATAAACGTATATAATTGCATTGTTTCACTCTTAAGCTAAATAATTTTTAAATAAACCTATGTTTTGTAGCTAACTTTTCTAATTTTTACAGATCAATCATCTGTCAGTGCCCCAATTTGGATCAACTGGAAAAAATATTGGAATCTTGCTTGAAATTCGGTGACATTCTACTAATGGATTCTGATTTTTTTTCTAGGTTTCCAGTGATGGACAACTTTGGCACTTCCGACTAGAGGATAAACAAACATATAGTTTGGTTAGTGTCTATGTATCATGCCCAAGTATTATATAAAAACTATTATTTTTTTATTTATTACAATTCAGTTGTTATTTAAAGTAAACAATTATAGCATTGCACTATTGAAATACGATGTTGTAAAAATGAAAAGAAGTTAAACGATATTTATAATAAAAAAACCATGAAAATATTGGGAACAAAGGCAATGCCTATGCCTCCTAATTGTAAGTTCACAATTTATTTCTTTTAATTTCATTATTTATTATGGAAAATTTATTATTGATATTGTGTCTTGTCAAATTAGATAGAACACATGGAGGAGGTGTGGTCATGGGTATAGCATGGCAGAAGAGGTAATTAATCAATTAATTAATATATAATCGGAAAAGATACCGTGCTGATGATCGACTTGGGTCCGATGTGCCCAACAGGAATTCTGAAAATCAAACTTCAACAAACTCTGATAATCATTCCAAACAGGTAATGAATTTCGTTTCGGATTATAAATAAATACTCAATATATATAGTTTGTATTGTTTGGTTTCCAGGTGTACAACGAACATGAAGCAAAATTATGGACAACTTTAGCTATTGAATCCATCCATAAACATATGTTTACAAAGGAATTTCAAGTCTTGGTATAATGATTTGGTAAAAGGGCATTTGAGTCTTTTCTTAAATTTTGTCATAATTTTTTTTTTCTGGAAAACCATATTGAGCCCTGTAATATTATTAAGTAAAGCGTTTCTGTAAGTTTAACCAACTTTGGATGACTTTGATCTTGTACTTGGGGACATTTGACCATTTTCCCCTTGTAATGAGGTTATGTAGGTTAATGGAGATGGTAAGTTTCAAATGGTTAGTGGGACGTGCGTAAACCAAAAACAATTTACATATGAAAGCAACAATCGAAAACCTACTCCATTAAAACAAGATGACCAAAAGCAACCTTCTGACCCATGCGAAGCATGGATCTCCCCCTAGTTTTATGTATAAATGCATGTTTTACATTAAAATTAGATATTTAATAAAAAATGGTTATAATATTAATAATACTTATTTATAAATAACATTAAGCTTTAAAAATGTGTATTTAAACAATAAATGTGATTCTTATATATAAAAAAATGTATTTATACGGTTTCAAATGTGAAGAAAAAAATTCTGACACGATTTCAGATGAAAAATAGGCAACAATAAATAAAACAGGAAGAAGGATTTTGTGATTCGCGACGCCAGTCTTCTTTGTGACGACGTGTGTCACATCATTAAATTGTGTCACAAATTAAGTAATGTTTGCGACACGTCGCCACTATGTGCACAAAATCCTAAATCTCAGTTCCTCTCTCATCACTCGCCTCTATCATCAGATCGTAACTTGTAACATAGACTTTTATATGAAAATCTATATTAATAATGTATAACGAATGTTGTATTATCTAAAGATTCTAAAAGAATTTGTTATGATTTATAAAATAACTTGCGAAAATTTTATGATCATTATGTTTGGTAACGAAGTCTTTTTTTATAATAAATTATCCGGAACTAGAACCGGTTCCACAAATGTTATTAATTTTGAAACGAAATTTAAATCATTATAATTACATGGCTTTGGATAATAGAAAATTTATGACTTCGTGAAATTTTAGAATAGTTACGTTTGATACCATCAACTAAATTGTTAGAAATTTAGGGTTTGTGGTGTAGATCTGGATACCAACTTGGATCGTGAGAACACTTTCTGAACTGATATTTCTACCCTATGCCTGTGTTGCAAGAAATTCTGCCTTGATAATTCAAATGGACACTTACGATACTAGGCACATAAATTGTAAGCCAAATTACTAGAAAGATTTTGTGAAAGTTTAAAGAAAACAATGGGTTTTAAGTACTATAACACTCCTAAGGTGCACATACAACCCTAAAGCTTTGGATCTATGTTTTCTCTAGTTATACATGCAATTTCATTTTTCCAAAGCATGAAGCCTAACTAGCATGCAATTGGAGATAAACAACATAAAAATAGTTAGATGAATACCTCTTTGTTGTAGCTTGTAGTTCTTGGCCGTTCAAGAGTTAAGTGTGATGCCTCAAATGAGTCACAAACACCACCAACAATTGGAGGATAATGAGAGAGAGGCTAGGAGACACAAATCAGCTAGGGTTTCATCTTGGAACTCATGGGTGCCGATTTTAGCAAGCTAGGGTTCAATTTATAGTTTGGAATCCTTAGGGTTTCATACATAAAACCCTAAAACCTTTGGTTATCCAATGATCCATATGACAGACCCTTTGGACTAACTCTTCATGGACTTTCACATAGAATTAGCCCATCCCTAATCAACATGGATCATTAGCCCAAACCATAAATATTACTGATTTACCTAATCAGTCCCTGCAAATTTAATCAGTCTCTTTTGATCACTAAATAAATTCCAAATTAATTCTTGATCAAACCAATTAAATAATATGAGTTCTCAATTAATATATTATTCTTATAATATATTAATAAAGCACAAATAACCACTTTCTCAAATATCCTTCCTATCAAATTGTTCTGGTGAAGGCAACCCAAAATGGACCATGCTACTATCGGGTCAAGTACATACCAATTATAGTTATGGGCTTAGACACCTAATCCAACAGTCTCCCACTTAGATAAGTCTAATAACTATAACTGCAAGTACGACTTCAAAAACCGACCAACAATCGTAGCTCTCAAAAGCCGCTGTCGAACTCTGACGCGTCCATTAGATAAGGGATCAAATATTTCTCTGTTCTACAAGATATCGTATGAACCGAGACATGGATTATAATCATTCTCTCTGTTCATGTGTTGTTTCCCGATTTCCGATTTATGACGAATGACTATTTAAACAAATCAAATCAGTCCAGGCTTGGCCAAGCGCTTAGGGTGTCATCATTAAATCATCGAGGGGCCCACATATATCACTTTTATCCCTCTTAGGGTAAAAGGAATGGATAGACTTCGACTCATATGCTTGCTCTATTTACTCATCAAATCACACACAACAATACGTTTTATAACACCAAGTTACTGGTGTGTTTACATATCATCAATGTGTAACCGACTTGTAAACTACAACTCATATGTCTCCATTTCAAGAATATAAGATATTATCGTCTCACAATCACTCGTGGTAAAATCCATGAAGTGATTCAGATGAGCGTGGGTTTAATCCAATACTCAAATCTTATTACAGGAGTACTCATGAACACTGTAGCAAACCTGTGCTATGTCTAAACGCTTAGACAATCTACAGTCAGATTCATGACAGTCTTACCTCAATACTTACTTCCAAAGTATGATTGACCGTGGATGTTTGAATAATCCTATTATTCGGGAAGTAAAACATGCAAATTGAAACACAAGAATAATCGAATCCAATATGGTCTCAATACTTTTGAATATAAATATAACACTTATTATTTAATCACCATATTGATTACACATTATTCATTGTATAATGTTTCAACTAATCAACTTAATACTTGAATTAAAACAACAGTTATCCCATGCTCCAAGCATGCACATTATGTTTTCCTATGGTCCTTACCTTGTGAAATAGATCAATTGAACACATTTGCAATGATGCTCATTTCACAATTTCCTAATCCTTATTATAAGTGTAAGAATACAAAATCCTTGCCACTAATAGAATCCATTAGAGTCTAAACTTTTACGCAATGTTCCTTTTGTAATGTCTAGGCAGAAAAGTCACAGAGACTTGGCCAATGATATTACAAAGTATTCCATTTGAGAATGTCACCAGACAATTCCCTGGAATTGAAGTCTCACATTCAAAGAGCATTCATTGAACATCCTTCTTGCATTAAAGTTTCTAACTCACACAAAGATTCTTAATATCCAACTCCCATTATGGAAACATAATTGCCATATGACTATCTATTCTAAATATAATCCTATCTATTCCGAATTATATCAATATGGTCCATCAATTACTATACCTCCAACTGTTCACAAGAAACCAATCTTCGGTGAACCTTAGATTGTCCTTGACAGTTGTTTAACAACTTTAGTCATATCAAGTTCTGGTCCTTTTTCCCTCTTAATGCGCTAGGCATTTGGAAAAATCAGAACATGTGAATATTATAGCATATGCAATCGATCCTATACCCGAAGCATATGGGATGCAATTCATAATGTCTCACATAAAGACATGAGACTAGACCAGTCTCTTGCTATAATATTTCCATATATAGAATTTCAAATTTTGAAACATTTCAACACGACATTCATATATATCCATGACTAAGTTCCATTAAAATTTCAATCTAAGCTTTTAGATTTGAAATGAAGTACGAGAATCTTCTCCCTTAAATCCTACTATAGCGAGACAACTTTTCAAACTCTACAACTTTGCAAATTAAAACTTTGTTTCTTATATATAGCATTGCTAACTTGCAACACTCAACGTAATGATTGTGCTCCCACTAGCATAATGATTACATACTTACAAGCATAACACTTATGCTCCCACTAGCTTTGACATGTACCTAGAAATCAGCTGGATTTCTAGAAATCAATACTTATTGACTTTCTTACCAAAGTTTAGATTTCTGATACGAGATGCTTCGATAACCCTTTATCTACGCTTCTCAAACTCATATACCTTACCTTAGATAGCTCATATGTGTGTCTAAACTATTTCAGAACTTACAGTAGTAAGTCCCGAATGTTCAGACTATTTGCCATTTCTCACAATTCGAACTATGAAGAGGGATGTCGTAATCATAATCAAATTTGAGAATGCAATCACAACTGCTAATACCTTAAAATCGACTTAGTGAAAGCGTTTCCTCACAATCATATTCATGAAGCAGAGAGAAATCTTATGTTACTTAGATTTTATGGTGTATGTGTTCCTTTCCATGTGAATTTGTCATAGCCATAATTACAAGACAAGGTTTGTGACAAATCCGAACTCATATGGACTGAACTAGTTCAATCTTAATTTCTTGCCATGTGGTGGCACAAGGGCCTACCATGTCTTCCAAGTTGTTCAGCAACTCACCATTATTGATCAATGTACTTTCACCGATCCATATGCTTTGCCTTATGCAAACAATTGAGAACTCATAGAACTCACATGCATAGTCAACTTTAACTGGAGTGAGCATAGAAACAAGAATATGTCAACACGATAGGTTACGAACCTCAAGTCGTGTGCTAGCGATTTACAATAGGTTTACTTTTGATTAGTTCTTGAAACTTTTCAAGACCTTTAAGACTCCCACTGACCTCTTGACATATAAGATTCTCTTGTCAAGAAACATTCCTTGACAAACAAATATTCAAGAGTTAGCGCGGGCTCTTGTCAAGAAAAACACTTCATTTAGTTGGTCTTAGTTGGTCTTTGTTTTATCCAAAACATCACAACTACCAATTCCAAATGTGCAAGAGTAAGAACCATTTCTACTCCACATTTGATGAGTGTTATAAACCTACTTAGGACATGTCACTCATTACTCTAAGACTCGATTTTAGAACGAAGTATGACTCATCCTTTTGATTTTAACCATTTTAACAATTCCCGATACCTCTCCTCAGTCATATAAATGCACTAAGGTATCCTTACAGGACCAATTGTGACATGGTTCCATAGTCATAAGGATGATCATAAAACATGATACTAAAGTATTCTCCTTTCCTTTCAGATTGGAAACTTTTATCTTTCTACCTAATTGATTCTTCTAATTCGTTCTGCTATACTTTGAAACTTTTCAAAGTATTAGAATTACACTTAATCTTGTAAGTATAACCATATTAACTAAAATTTTAGTAAATTATGATGAATACTCTTTATCATTCGTTGTGGTGGACCAGACCAGTTCACAACAATGTGTACTAGATCTCCTAGTCCTTCACTTGACTCACATACATATGCGAACAAGGAATTAGTCTCAATTTTCCCAAGTACCAAGATTTTCATACATCATAT